TGGAAGTGTATGTGTTCTGAAACGAAATGTTAAAAACGATTGAATGTTAATGCAATTACACAAAAGACAAATCTTAAGCTGGTCCAACAAACTTCCCACAGCCTTCACACACAGCACAACGTTTATGTCCACATAAAGTTTATTTCCTTATAAAGTTTATCACAAATACAACTGTTGACGTAGCGACAAAAACCAACACTGCGCACATCACACAACCCTGGACATTACACAACTCTGAGCAAAACACACCAACCAAATAAATGGAAAACTTTTCATTTTACGCTGGAACCTGCATTATACAACACAATAAAACTCCCAAGTATCATTAGCAATTATGTATCGACTTCTGCCAAGTTCCATTGCGCTAATAGTACGGGAACCCTATTTGGGTAATAACGAACTGGAAAACGAATGGATTCTGCCAAGCATGATGTTTTCAAATGTATCCAGCTACAGTCACGCACACACAATACTATCTTTTTAATAAATTCACTACTTTCACCCGCGCTCATGATCAATAAGTAATTAATTTCACCAGCTCAGGGAAAACAAAACAGCCCATAAGTGTCAGTCCAGTAGCCAAGTTTGCTTAAAAACTTCAAAATTAAAATAAGTAAGTAACAATACATATTTATACTTGGATTGTGTGCGTTGTTGAGGCAGATGAGGGACAGTAGCTCATCATAACATTGTCTTTATGTGTTTGGGAGCGATGCCAAGGACAGAGCTGCGGATTCTGTTGCTATATTGTTAATTTACGGCTTCTGTTTCCACTTTTCAGCAAGAAGGTCCTGGTTTCAAATACCCAGTTGGAACAAGGCCTTTTTTAAGTAGGGTTTGCATGTTCTCCCCGGTTTAAAACTAAGTGATCAGATTAAGAGATCCTCTATTTGTCTTAAATCTCTATCTTTAGCATAATGAGTACTAACAACTCTGACTTTAGCATAATAAAGAAGTTTAAAATCTACCATAATAAGAAGCAAGTGTAAAGTACTATATTCTAGTGCAAGTAATACTGTAGTTTCCCTTACCACAAAAAAATAATAATAAAAAACAAATACTACATACTGTATATCTGTAGTCTTGAGTTTTCCCAAGTATCAACTCTATAGATGGGTCCCGGCAGCCGTTCTATGGTGGCCGCTGCTCAGGACAGAGGGCCTTGGGCTGGGGTTTCAAACCAGTCCTCAAAAGGGCCGATTCAGTTGCTGGTCTTCATTCCAACCAAGCAGGAGCGCACCAGACTCCACCCATTTCCTCGAGTGAGTCCAGTCTTAACCGGAAGATTTGAGGAAATGGGTGGAGTGTGGGGTGCCCTTGCTTGGTCGGAATGAAAACCTGCAGCCAGTTTGACATCCCTGCCCTAGTGGCATGAAGGATGTGAAGACACAGCAGAAGACACATTTCCCTATGGGGACAATAAAATATATATTAAATTCAACTCAATTCAATCCAATGTATTGTTGTATAGCCCTAAATTACAACAGTAGTTCTCTCGGAGGACTTAACAAAACCGATGAATTTGCCAACACAGATCAGAGAATCAAGTAGTTCAAACACAAGAAATGCAACAATAAAAACACATAGAGCTGTTGGTCCATAAGGAGCAGAGACCAATGTCCATAAATGATGATAAATGCACATAAATGTTGTTGTGTGTTGAGTGGAGTGTCCTGGATCATCTTTAACACTCGTCAAAGGACATTGGAAGTTTAAGGTATAGGATTTTCTACTTTTGGGTGGATCATCAAGACTATTGGTCCTCCCAATTGTCAATCATTCTGGTAATATGTGCTCATCAAAAAAGACCAGAGAGTTTTGTTCAAAAAGTGGAAAGAACGGTTTGTTCCTAAAACTTAGTAAAATCCTCCTATATCCCTTTTAAATATTTGACATATGCATTTTTCTAACTTTTACTTTACCCAAACTTTTGCAGGCTTGACAATGCACTACTCTCCAAACATTTATACCACCACATACTGTGTAGAAGTAGTTGTAGTCCTTTCCAAGCTCTATACCTCCCCCTATAACAATAATGGCCTGATTCATGTATTGGATATGGCCTAGATAGATCACCCAAGACACATTACCCCCCACTCCTCTGGCGAACGCATTATTACACCGTGTTGTTAGCTGCACGGTCACTCTATTTCTCTTTTTGCAGGTGAACCGTGGCTTTAAGATCACACCGAGGCCAGGAAAGAGAAATCACACCAGGCCCCAGGAAATCGGATCAGCGAGCACAATAAAGGCCTGGCAGAACCATCCGGGGGAAAAAAGAGCTCTCTATAACCTGTACGGCTACATCCCACTTTTCATCTGGTCCGCAAATGCAGCCAAAGAAGGAGTGGCGTACATACAACTACCGGCTTGACGTTTTTGTTAGTCCGCTTGGAAATAGGGAACATACATCGTGTCTTAATGTGTGAAAAAAAAAGAGAAAATATCCACAATGTAATTCCGCTGGCCCCTGGGTGCGGCCGGTCACTAGGGGAGGTGATCATGGGAGTCGTGTGCGGGAGATGGATCGTGTCAATTTGCTGTGAAAACAATATTGTCCCCGTTCTGAGGTCTTTTCTATGTTTTTGAGATGTGCAGCCGTCAGTCAATCGCATTAAAGCAGGGAGTCTGGATACCTGCCTGTGTGCCCTTTGGCAAATTTGGCATTACCTCTGTATGGCGGGCTGTTTCTGTGATGCGGTAATATACTTGGTGATTTTTGTCATAACAGCCGAGAAGAAAGTTCAAGGGGAAGTTCAAGATGGATTTTTTTCACCCTAAAGGTTTTTGAGAATGGGAATGATTTCATAAATAGAGATGTTTGGATAAAAAACTAAAATGTGAGAAGGGAAGACCTGAATGAGCAGCAAAGAGGTAGATGTTGAAAATAACATCATGCTATATAGTTTTTAATATCTTTTTTTTTCATTATTCTTAGCTATGGATCCTGTGCTTGCATATGAGTCCTTGATAAAGTCTAAATTAAAAGAAAATAAAATACATTTGAGCTAAATCTAACTGGGCACGGCCAATTACTGTATGCATTTTGACTTGAGACAATCCCAATAGAAATGTCGAGGCAATACCGCTGTTATTAAAGGCATCACAGTCTTAGGCTTTCTTTAGGGCTTAATCCTAGTCCTTGAAGATATTGTTTCTTGTTGATGGCATATTTCCTGTCTTTTGCACGCCCCCAGTGATCCTGAGTGATGTCAAATGTAACATGTTTCTCCACCGTGAAATCAATAAAGTTTTATCTTATCTTATCTGAATCATAAACTGAGGGCAATAGCAACATTGTCAGTTGTCATGTAGGTCAGTACATGCCCAATGTATCCTGCACCATAAAAGACCATAGGCTCCTCATCCTAAACTTATATATAACCAACTATTGGGAACTTTTACTGCTCTTTGATTATCAGGCTACTACCGCCATCTAGTGGTGAAATAACATAATGCTGTATCTTCTTCTGAGGAAATACTTGCATCAGAGTCAGGGATTTTTCGGATAAAAGATACATGTTGCATCCTAAGTAGTCATAATATCTTCATTAATCTAACCCAGGACTGCAGGCCATCACTGTCTGTGAACGCAATGAAAACGGTTACAGTTACAGTGGTGTACATATGAAAAGTACAGTATTGTAAGATAAGATATTTCTTTATGCGTTCCACAGTCGTTCCACTACAGCAGAGAAAGAAGGAAAGAAGAGCACTCAGATTGCACACATCAAACATGGTCTAATATTTAAGATAATAGACAGTAACATTAAAATAATATACACTGACGGGGCTGATAGGGCTTTAAGTTCATTGATTAATCACAACTAATCAATTATTGAAATAGTTGTACTAAGTTAGTAATTGACTTAAACCTACAGAGAAGAGGTTTTATTGCCTCTTCTCAAATTATTGAAAGTAAGTAAGCAACGTTTATTTATGCAACCCATTTTACAAACCAAGGTCACACACAAAGCACTTTACAATTGTTGAGAGTTCAGACATTTTTCCATTCTCTCCACACAGAGATCACGGAAGAGAGACGCTGAACACCAACCAACACCATCCATTCACTCACCCATTACATTCAAACCTCTTGTACATGTTCTTAGTGGTAGGGGAAACTGGAGCATCCGGAGGGAACTTACGCAGACACTAGGAGAACATGCAAACTCCACACCGAAAGGTCCGGAGGTGGAATTGAACCCACAAGCTCTAAACGCTGCGCCACCATGCCACCACCAAAGTGATAAATATACAAGAACCAAAATAATTGACAACTATAGCCCTAATTATTATTAAACGTGTATTTTTCTGCACTCAGTCTCGAAGCTTATGATTCACAGCAGAAAGGTCGGTTTGATTCTTTTTGTGCATGTTCTCCTGCATGGTGACCACACTTCCATCCCTGTGTGGAGTGAGAGGAATGATATATTTTTTATCAATTGTGTTTTATTGACACTATGAACAGTCCCCTTGCGCTGAAAGGTGCCTTTAAATAAAATGGTTTATTAGTACACCATGTGTTACTGTACTATATTACTATGCGCCTTGGGCTGGCAGTTTAATTCCATAGCACACAACTTGTTCAAATATTGAGCAGGTTATGTGCTAAGCTGCAGGTAAACAATCCATCAAACATCTTCCCCTGCTGCAACGCAAAGCACTTTGTAAACTTATAGCTTAAACTGAGCTATGGTTTAAATCCTTTGGTAGAAATAGTCCAGTTGCAGAGTGTGTTGAAAGGGCCGCACAGGAGGGCTGCCGTGTGCCCGAGGCCACGCTGTAATGTGTGAGTGAGTAGATGGTCTGCCACTTCAGATTAGGCCTCTGACGGAGAGCCTACAGAGGTAATAGGGCCTTCGTAAAAATCATAAGAATGGTTATGGGCAACAATGAAACATGTCGTATTCAGGCAGGCTTGTGTTGCACTGTTTGGCCTGAATTACTCGGCGAGTCGATGAGTGGCTGACAAACAGAGCTGACATTAAGGTGGACTTATGGTAACGCAGCCTGACACTGGAGGGGTGTGCTGTGGTAATAGGGTCAAAGGTGGCAATGAGCTGCGATAATAAAGATATGGCAGATATATGGACAATCATTATGGATTGTAATGTAAAGGATTTATCAAAGGTGGAGGAATGGATGAAAGTAGGCTAGTCACAAGTATGGAATATTAAACCGTGTCGTAATTTTTGAAAGTAGAGAGTCTAAATAAAATGACAAAGAGAATATTCTATGAGTACAGTATATTCTATGTTGTCTGGGGTTTTATGTTCCTGCTAGGTTCTCCCATTGCAAACAGGTTCTCGGTGACAAGCACAGTCCAAAACCCCACCACCATGGGAAGAATGACATCGAGGGCCCTGATGTTCCCCAGTATTGTGCAGCCGGGGCCCCACCCTGGAGCCAGGATGAATCATCCTGAAAGGATCATGTGTGCCTGTCCTCCTGGGGACTCACTGCCAGAGGAATGTATGGGTCGGGTGCAGAGAGGACTGGGTTGGTGTTGAAGTCTAACACTTTGATACCCCGTCCACGAACACATGCTTGTAGAGGAGGTTGAGAGATACCGACTCGCTGAAGTCGAGTCGAGGGCAGGCTGGTCGTGTCACTGCTGACCCCTCTCACCCAGCACATGGACGTCTGAACGACTGGAAAATGATATTCACCCATAACTTGACCCCTTAGTTTGCCACCTTGTGAAACAATAGAGTAATTGTATCAGACAAACAAGAAAAAGACCATTTTAATCTAAACTGGTTTGAACAAAACAATGTGTGCATGATATTCTGGATCCAAATGGAATAATCAGAAAACTAAAGTCTAAGTTACCAGAGATACGGATGATTATACGTAGGAATTATAATACAAAACTGTCAATGATAAAATATTAGGATATCCTATAGAATCTGGACAAAGTACATTAACAATTGCCTATGTTGATAATGATTAAAGAAATACTTATCAGTTGATTTGGGGTAGATTTGGTTTTGAAGTTGATCTCTGCAACTTTTGTCAACAGAATTCAGAAATGATCAAACATCTGTTCTTCTACTGCCCTCAGGAAAATCAGAATTCTTTATATTGCCATGTGAGAAACAATTGCTTTGGCTCTTTGTGCAAACAAGTAAAAAGGTAAAAGCAGAGTAAGGTATGCATTAAATTAAAAAAATCAACATAACATGTTGTTAAATTACCACTATATACAAGTGCATTAAGTAAACACAAAATACGTTGGCAGTGCAGCAAAGTGACAGTAGCATAAAGTGACGGTCATAAAGGCAGGGGACAGTGATGAGTTATGAAGTGTTCATGAGTCCAACTGCAGAGGGGAAGAAACTGTTCTTGTGGCGGGAGTTCCTGGTCCAGATACTATGCACATTGTTTTCTCAGCCAGGTGCATCAGAAGTGTGCACTCATAAATTGTGTGAGTGAAGTCGGAGAGACGACAATACTAATCCGGAGTATCACTACAAATAATTCAGTGAGTGCACTTGCAGTTCTCAGGTAATGCCGCTAGATGGTGGCATTTAGGCGTTAGATGATGGCATTTATGTGTTTATGTGTGTTTGGCATTCAACATCATAAAGAGACCAACCCTAACTGTGTATTAAAGCTACCCTACCTTTTTACCCTTTACTTCTGTGCATCTCTTAACTGGTGCCTGCTCGTTTTACAGATTAGAACTATTACAACTATGTATTGACTATAAAAGGCCAATACAAATCGTTATAGCCATGTATCGACAATAATGGGGAAAGGGTTTTTTTTTTCTTCATCCTACTCCTGTTCTTCTTTTCAGGGAATGTATTACTGTTGTATTTGATGGATTATTGTAATATTTTGCTGCATTAACATGAACAAAATGCTAAATAAATAAGGATAATAAAAGAAAACAAAATAACTGGCCAATACAAAGGCAAGGCAAGGCAAGTTTATTTGTATAGCACAATTCATACACAAGGCAACTCAAAGTGATGAACAAAATAAGAAAGCATTAAAATCATAAATAATCGCAGTACATTAAAAAGAAAGATAAAAATATAAAATCCCTCAGTTTTATGCACAGCTAAACAGAACTGTTTTTAACCTGGTTTTAAACATTGTCAGAGAAGAGGCCTGTCTCACATCTTCAGGAAGATTGTTCCAGATTTTAGCAGCATGCATCTGAAAAGCAGCCTCCCCATGTTAAGTCCTGACCACAGACTGTCCTGACTCTGGGCACTAACAGGAGTCCAGTACCTGTGCTCCTCAGAGTCCCAGCAGGAGTCCAGTCCCTGTGCTCCTCAGAGTCCCAGCAGGAGTCCAGTCCCTGTGCTCCTCAGAGTCCCAGCAGGAGTCCAGTCCCTGTGCTCCTCAGAGTCCCAGCAGGAGGCCGGTCCCTGTGCACCTCAGAGTCCCAGCAGGAGTCCAGTCCCTGTGCTCCTCAGTCCTAGAAGGAGTCCAGTCCCTGTGCTCCTCAGAGTCCCAGCACGAGTCCAGTCCCTGTGCTCCTCAGAGTCCCAGCAGGAGTCCAGTCCCTGTGCACCTCAGAGTCCCAGCAGGAGGCCAGTCCCTGTGCTCCTCAGAGTCCCAGCACGAGTCCAGTCCCTGTGCTCCTCAGAGTCCCAGCAGGAGTCCAGTCCCTGTGCTCCTCAGAGTCCCAGCAGGAGCCAGTCCCTGTGCTCCTTAGAGTCCCAGCAGGAGTCCAGTCCCTGTGCTCCTCAGAGTCCCAGCAGGAGTCCAGTCCCTGTGCTCCTCAGAGTCCCAGCAGGAGTCCAGTCCCTGTGCTCCTCAGAGTCCCAGCAGGAGTCCAGTCCCTGTGCTCCTCAGAGTCCCAGCAGGAGTCCAGTCCCTGTGCTCCTCAGAGTCCCAGCACGAGTCCAGTCCCTGTGCTCCTCAGAGTCCCAGCAGGAGTCCAGTCCCTGTGCTCCTCAGTCCTAGAAGGAGTCCAGTCCCTGTGCTCCTCAGAGTCCCAGCACGAGTCCAGTCCCTGTGCTCCTCAGAGTCCCAGCAGGAGTCCAGTCCCTGTGCACCTCAGAGTCCCAGCAGGAGGCCAGTCCCTGTGCTCCTCAGAGTCCCAGCACGAGTCCAGTCCCTGTGCTCCTCAGAGTCCCAGCAGTAGTCCAGTCCCTGTGCTCCTCGGAGTCCCAGCACGAGTCCAGTCCCTGTGCTCCTCAGAGTCCCAGCAGGAGTCCAGTCCCTGTGCTCCTCAGAGTCCCAGCAGGAGTCCAGTCCCTGTTATCCTTAGAGTCCCAGCAGGAGTCCAGTCCCTGTGCTCCTCAGAGTCCCAGCAGGAGTCCAGTCCCTGTGCTCCTCAGAGTCCCAGCAGGAGTCCAGTTCCTGTGCTCCTCAGAGTCCCAGCAGGAGTCCAGTCCCTGTGCTCCTCAGAGTCCCAGCAGGAGTCCAGTCCCTGTGCTCTCTCAGAGTCCTAGAAGGAGTCCAGTCCCTGTGCTCCTCAGAGTCCCAGCACGAGTCCAGTCCCTGTGCTCCTCAGAGTCCCAGCAGGAGTCCAGTCCCTGTGCACCTCAGAGTCCCAGCAGGAGGCCAGTCCCTGTGCTCCTCAGAGTCCCAGCACGAGTCCAGTCCCTGTGCTCCTCAGAGTCCCAGCAGTAGTCCAGTCCCTGTGCTCCTCGGAGTCCCAGCACGAGTCCAGTCCCTGTGCTCCTCAGAGTCCCAGCAGGAGTCCAGTCCCTGTGCTCCTCAGAGTCCCAGCAGGAGTCCAGTCCCTGTTATCCTTAGAGTCCCAGCAGGAGTCCAGTCCCTGTGCTCCTCAGAGTCCCAGCAGGAGTCCAGTCCCTGTGCTCCTCAGAGTCCCAGCAGGAGTCCAGTCCCTGTGCTCCTCAGAGTCCCAGCAGGAGTCCAGTCCCTGTGCTCCTCAGAGTCCCAGCAGGAGTCCAGTCCCTGTGCTCCTCAGAGTCCCAGCAGGAGGCCAGTCCCTGTGCTCCTCAGAGTCCCAGCAGGAGTCCAGTCCCTGTGCTCCTCAGTCCTAGAAGGAGTCCAGTCCCTGTGCTCCTCAGAGTCCCAGCACGAGTCCAGTCCCTGTGCTCCTCAGAGTCCCAGCAGGAGTCCAGTCCCTGTGCACCTCAGAGTCCCAGCAGGAGGCCAGTCCCTGTGCTCCTCAGAGTCCCAGCACGAGTCCAGTCCCTGTGCTCCTCGGAGTCCAGTCCCTGTGCTCCTCAGAGTCCCAGCAGGAGTCCAGTCCCTGTGCACCTCAGAGTCCCAGCAGGAGGCCAGTCCCTGTGCTCCTCAGAGTCCCAGCAGGAGTCCAGTCCCTGTGCTCCTCAGAGTCCCAGCAGGAGTCCAGTCCCTGTGCTCCTCAGAGTCCCAGCAGGAGTCCAGTCCCTGTGCTCCTCAGAGTCCCAGCAGGAGTCCAGTCCCTGTGCTCCTCAGAGTCCCAGCAGGAGTCCAGTCCCTGTGCTCCTCAGAGTCCCAGCAGGAGTCCAGTCCCTGTGCTCCTCAGAGTCCCAGCACGAGTCCAGTCCCTGTGCTCCTCAGAGTCCCAGCAGGAGTCCAGTCCCTGTGCTCCTCAGAGTCCCAGCAGGAGTCCAGTCCCTGTGCACCTCAGAGTCCCAGCAGGAGTCCAGTCCCTGTGCTCCTCAGAGTCCCAGCAGGAGTCCAGTCCCTGTGCTCCTTAGAGTCCCAGCAGGAGTCCAGTCCCTGTGCACCTCAGAGTCCCAGCAGGAGTCCAGTCCCTGTGCTCCTCAGAGTCCCAGCAGGAGTCCAGTCCCTGTGCACCTCAGAGTCCCAGCAGGAGTCCAGTCCCTGTGCTCCTCAGAGTCCCAGCAGGAGTCCAGTCCCTGTGCTCCTTAGAGTCCCAGCAGGAGTCCAGTCCCTGTGCACCTCAGAGTCCCAGCAGGAGGCCAGTCCCTGTGCACCTCAGAGTCCCAGCAGGAGTCCAGTCCCTGTGCTCCTCAGAGTCCCAGCAGGAGTCCAGTCCCTGTGCTCCTTAGAGTCCCAGCAGGAGTCCAGTCCCTGTGCACCTCAGAGTCCCAGCAGGAGTCCAGTCCCTGTGCTCCTCAGAGTCCCAGCACGAGTCCAGTCCCTGTGCTCCTCAGAGTCCCAGCAGGAGTCCAGTCCCTGTGCTCCTCAGAGTCCCAGCAGGAGTCCAGTCCCTGTGCACCTCAGAGTCCCAGCAGGAGTCCAGTCCCTGTGCTCCTCAGAGTCCCAGCAGGAGTCCAGTCCCTGTGCTCCTTAGAGTCCCAGCAGGAGTCCAGTCCCTGTGCACCTCAGAGTCCCAGCAGGAGTCCAGTCCCTGTGCTCCTCAGAGTCCCAGCAGGAGTCCAGTCCCTGTGCACCTCAGAGTCCCAGCAGGAGTCCAGTCCCTGTGCTCCTCAGAGTCCCAGCAGGAGTCCAGTCCCTGTGCTCCTTAGAGTCCCAGCAGGAGTCCAGTCCCTGTGCTCCTCAGAGTCCCAGCAGGAGTCCAGTCCCTGTGCTCCTCAGAGTCCCAGCAGGAGTCCAGTCCCTGTGCTCCTCAGAGTCCCAGCAGGAGGTCCAGTCCCTGTGCACCTCAGAGTCCCAGCAGGAGGTCAGTCCCTGTGCACCTCAGAGTCCCAGCAGGAGTCCAGTCCCTGTGCTCCTCAGAGTCCCAGCAGGAGGCCAGTCCCTGTGCTCCTCAGAGTCCCAGCAGGAGTCCAGTCCCTGTGCTCCTGAGAGTCCCAGCAGGAGTCCAGTCCCTGTGCTCCTCAGAGTCCCAGCAGGAGTCCAGTCCCTGTGCACCTCAGAGTCCCAGCAGGAGGCCAGTCCCTGTGCTCCTCAGAGTCCCAGCAGGAGTCCAGTCCCTGTGCTCCTTAGAGTCCCAGCAGGAGTCCAGTCCCTGTGCACCTCAGAGTCCCAGCAGGAGTCCAGTCCCTGTGCTCCTCAGAGTCCCAGCAGGAGTCCAGTCCCTGTGCACCTCAGAGTCCCAGCAGGAGTCCAGTCCCTGTGCTCCTCAGAGTCCCAGCAGGAGTCCAGTCCCTGTGCTCCTCAGAGTCCCAGCAGGAGTCCAGTCCCTGTGCTCCTCAGAGTCCCAGCAGGAGTCCAGTCCCTGTGCTCCTCAGAGTCCCCAGCAGGAGTCCAGTCCCTGTGCTCCTCAGAGTCCCAGCAGGAGTCAGTCCCTGTGCACCTCAGAGTCCCAGCAGGAGGTCAGTCCCTGTGCACCTCAGAGTCCCAGCAGGAGTCCAGTCCCTGTGCTCCTCAGAGTCCCAGCAGGAGGCCAGTCCCTGTGCTCCTCAGAGTCCCAGCACGAGTCCAGTCCCTGTGATCCTGAGAGTCCCAGCAGGAGTCCAGTCCCTGTGCTCCTCAGAGTCCCAGCAGGAGTCCAGTCCCTGTGCTCCTCAGAGTCCCAGCAGGAGGCCAGTCCCTGTGCTCCTCAGAGTCCCAGCACGAGTCCAGTCCCTGTGCTCCTCAGAGTCCGGGCTGGTAATATAACTTAATATAAGAGATTCATAAACACTAGAGCCTTTCTTTTCTCCATGCCCTCAACAACAGACCATAGACCCATGTGCCACACTCAGACCGCAGACCTCAAACCCCGGACCCTGCAGCTGTAAGTGGTCCACGCTCGTCACGTGACCCAGACCCTGCGTCACGTGACTCATATTCCATCCTCGCCATTTTGCAATGTGGACGCAGCGCCGGATGCTTTATGGCACAGCAATAAGCACTAACAACAGCCCCGCGGGTTTTCGTGCTGAGGACAGAGAGCAGCGCCTGTGCCCGTGCCCGTGAGTACATCCCCGGCCTGCACAACCTCAGCGTCGGCCACTCTCCATGAGCAGGAGCCGCGGTTAGCATGTGTCCGGGGTTAGCTTTAGCATCTGTGGCTCGTGTGGGCAAGTGCAAGCAAAGCGGTCAAATTGCATCCAAACTCGTTTTACTATCTCTGTGTTTTTTTTCTTGTAGGTAAATGTTGAATTGTTGGTTTGTCATGGCATCCTCCGTTGTGGTATTTGTCTGAGAGGATTTGTTAGAGAGTTGGGAGGCAGGGCATAACTTCTGCTGCTGCTGAGGGGTGGGCATATTTTTAGCCCCTGACATAACAGGTGCTGGTTTGAGAAGCAAAAAAGCACATGATAATTCTCCCCGAGAGGGCTGATTCCAGTCATATGATCTACAATAGACTTTTAGGAAACGGATTGTTATTAGAAATGTGATCACAAAAGCTGTTATTCATACACTTGTTCGACTTATGAATGTATAGCCATTGCAGAATCGAATTTGGAATTTTTATATGACTTGGGTAAAACGAATATAGGCATGGTACATGTTATAGCTCAGATTATCATCAGATGAAAACAAAAAAATTGAAAAAATAATCCCTTGCAAATATGATAATTACTTGGCCTATGGTATGATTCTTATCTGTACATGGGCAGTTTACTATACACAAATTGAGGAAAGTAAGACAGCTCAACTCAAATGTTAGATTTATTGTCTGCACATTAGCCAAAGTGCATAAACTTTATCCTTAAACATTCAGGACACAGGACCTTTAAAGGACAAGACATAATTATTCTGTGAGTAGGCGACCTCTGAATAAATAGATACACAAGGAAAAGTAAAAATAACAAAGACATCCTGTATATTCAGATCAAAAGTCACAGGCTGTATATAGGGAATAGAAAGCATAGTATTTGCAGAAGTAACAAAAAAGAGGAAGGCAATCTGTGGTCAAACAAAGGATAATACAGGGAAGCTTCCTTTTAGATATACTATAGTAAACAAAAGCACGTGTTTATGTTTGGTGTGATCACTTTTGTTGTTAGTACACTTTCTTCTTTTCATAGTATACTATATGAGGTGATATCACAAAATGGAGAAGACAAATGTACCTCTTTTTGTAAAGTTTTTTTATTGTTCAGGAAAGCCTTTAAAAGTTGATCCCTGTTGTGTATGAAATTGACTATGTAGCTGTAAAGTAAAGTTTATAGTTCTTGTGTTTTCTCAAGGCATGCTGGTAGACAGCCATATAAACCGAAGTCATCTGCCTCAGGCTCCACAGGGACCGAGACCATATCTGTTCAGAGCGATTTGCAAATACTTCAAAGGAAAGCCCAATATTCAATAAGTACTAGAGTTTTTTTTGACTTTTGTTTATCATGTTACAATTGGTGGTGATCTTAGTTTTGTGTTTTTTCAATAACCAATAACATTTATTGTATTTAATATAATCAAAATAAATAAAGTGGGGGCTTGCAAAAAAAAACAGATATTATTGATGGTGCAAGATAAGAGACAATTCTTGAATAGTTTTAGACTAGTCAACAATCAATATTAGAGAAAATATTTGTTTTAAACTTTCATTAATGTTTCCAATTTTCTTTTGATTGTAGCCTTATGTCTTCTAATACTTGGTTTTAACATGTTTTTTATGCTTTAGGTGATGGAGGAGATTAGTGACACAGCACTGCTGGTCACCACCTCTAACCAGCCATCTTTGGTATCCCAACCTCAGACCCTCCAAACAGCCCCCAACCACATTCACCCCAGCTTCCAACAAAAACAAGCTGCTGACTCCCTCATCCAGGTCATCCAGAAGCTCAGCAAAATTGTCGAGAAACGCCCCCAGCGTTGCCGCACTTTAGCCGGACAGAAACGACTGCTCTACGAGGCCTCAACCAGGGTTCCGGGAGGCTCCACTTACAGTAAAACTCGAAAAACCTGCAGGGAAGAAGAAAGCTGCGTGAGTGCTGATACTGACGACGATGTGTGCGTGTCGGGTGACCGCAACAACAACACCACCACCACCTCCACATCCGTAACAGAACTCTCTGATAACTCTATCAGCTCTGAGCTCAAGCGGACTGTGACCTGCTATCAGTGCAGCCTCTGCCTTTATCTTTCCCCCACCCTAAGCCTGCTGAGAGAGCACCTCAAACAGCACGATGAGAACCACAGCGACCTCATCCTCATGTGCTCGGAATGCCGCTTCACCTCCCAAGACCAAGAACAGCTCGAGGCCCACGTCAAACTGCATTTTGACGGTAACCCTTCCACTCCGCAGCACAAAGGAGGCGGCGGTTCCAATGAGCTTTCACAGAAGAAGTGGTATAGTCACGAGGAGTACGGCCTCTATCGCTGTCTGATCTGCAGTTACGTCTGCAGTCAACAGCGAATGCTCAAGACGCACGCATGGAAGCATGCTGGGTTGGTGGACTGCACGTATCCAATTTTTGAGGATGAAGAAGGGACGGCTGCCAGAAAGGAAACTCAAATTTCCACCAACCGAGAGGAAGTTGTCCTTCTTTCCCCTTTCGGCATCCAAGATCAAAGTGAGCAACCCGGCCTTAAGTTGCAGTTGTGCGTGCCGTTTGCCGCGGATAACGAGCTGAACATGTCAACCCAGATACAGCCTAATATTGTGAAAATGGAGCCGGAGTTGGTGATGAAAACGTGTACCCGGTGAAAGATGTGGTCTCCGATGGTCCCGTCGTGGAGGTGCAGGCAACTACAAATGGGGAAAGTCAAGAGAGCTCTTCAGACAGCTTGCTTTCTTCTGCTCAGAAGATCATAAACAGCGATCCCAACAGCGCTGGACACATCAATGTGATTGTGGAGCGATTGCCTTCTGCTGGGGACGCGGTTTTGACCACAAACCCTCTCCTCCTAACGCCAGACGAAGACAGAGACACGACTTTACTGAGTGCATCGGACCATGTCGATGTGAAGGTAAAGGTAGAGGTCGAAGAGGTAGACGTAGCTGTAGCCAAAAGTACTGCATCCGCTGTCACCGACTCCCCCAAGGATGAAAACATACCCCCCACGGTCAGAAAGAGGACGCACTCAGAGTCGTTGCGTCTGCATTCGCTCGCAGCCGAAGCCCTCGTGGCCATGCCCATGAGAATGCCCGAGCTGACCAATCCAAACGAAAGTCTCGGGCAGAAACTGGCAGAGGAGACGAGCGGGGGGAAGGCGGTCAAACCCAAACTAGAACAAAGCTTGGGGTCACTCGGAGAGGGGGACGAAGAGGTGACCTGCACTAAAGCGGCAGGCATCAGTCTGTCTCTACTCACGGTTATCGAGAGACTGAGGGAGCGTTCGGACCAGAACACGTCGGACGAAGATATCCTCAAAGAGCTACAGGATAACGTGCAGGTGCAACACGGAGCAACCATTGGCGAAGCGACGGGGAACGAATCCGCGAGCTACGTGGATGAAATAGTATCGTCTTCGGACAACAGCCTGGTGGACTATATCGAGGGCAGCGACAGGCCGTACAGGTGCAAGTTGTGTCAGTACACCAGCGGCAACAAGGGCTACATCAAGCAGCATCTGAGAGTACACAAGCAGCGGCAGCCGTACCAGTGTCCCATCTGCGAGCACATTGCCATGGACAGTAAAGACCTAGAGAGTCACATGATCAACCACTGTAAGACTAAGATGTACCAATGCAACCAGTGCCCGGAGTCCTTCCACTTTAAGGTGAGTGAAGGAAAGCAGGTTTTAATGTGTGTAAATAAAATGTTTGTCCGAAATTTCAATACTACCCTTATACTTATGGATTTTAATGCCATCCATCCATCCATTTTTTACCCTTTAATCCATTTCTGGGTCAGGGGGGTGGCAGTCAGAGATGCCACCCAAGTCTCATAGCACCAGCCCCTCACTGACCCTCTGCAGGTGGTGAGTCCACAGGAGGACGGCTGCTCTCTGAGTGTGAGCATAGCCTTGATCTTTCAGTGGGGGCTTTGGTAAAGTGGGGTTAAGTGTCTTGCCCAAGGACACAACGACAGCAGTCATCAGTGGGAGTCGGTGGAGAAGGTGCAGAGGTGGGAAATGAACCCACGACCTTCTGGCCTTAAGGCCAATGCTCTACCAACTGAGCTACTGTCGCCCCATGGATTTTAATGAAAGCACAAAAATAGAGCAGTCCGTTTATTTTGTACAAGTTCACTCACAATTTGGTTGACAAAGGACCACGACCAAAACATTCCTGATCTTAATAACTATCTGTGTGCAGTGTCATTCAGAATCTTATATTATCTTTTCATTGATTGGTCAGCTACTAAAATATCATAATCTCCCTGAAATGATAGATGGCACAACTGCAACCAAACGCTAATTACATGTGCAAAGTTAGTATTGGAATTTTATCTTTGGGTGGCCTTATTACACACCTTGTTTTGTATCATTGGCTTGTTTTCACAATGTGGAAGAAAAAAATCAAAATTTCTGAAAATTACTCTACAGTTATTATATCTGATTATTCAGAGTGGATTTGATACAATTTCCAATCAACTAATAAGTCACATTTTGATAATTATGTACTCAAATTAAAGACCTTAGGGGTTGCCCTAGTTTAGACCCAGACCTGCTGATACACTAAAAGCCAGCTCATTTCTCTGGGAGTGCTTTGTAAGAAGTGCTTGAGACTCACTGATGAATCTCCAGTTACACAGTATATTGTGTTTTTCCCAGTCAGGAGTGATTGGTTATCAGTTGTAATGGATATTTATGTTGTTCTTCTCAAGACCATTTGGTGAAGGGTGAAAAAGGCTTCCATATGTTGACCGTTGTTGTGAGGAATCCGCACCAGCCTGAGGCTGGGCCTGGGCTCGAGTGCAGACCATGTTTAGTCATGGCCCATACGGACAATGTTTTTGTGTTCTGAGAGTGTCACACTGTATGCTCTGTGCTTCCTGCACTTGCAAACTCACAAATATGTCAGGGTTTGCAGAGCGCAGTCCACTGCTGTTCTGGAAGTAAACTTTTCTTTTTTTTCTCATAAACTTTAGAATATTATATTTTAAAAGACATGCAGATGGTAACCAGCTTTGTTATATAGCTTATTCTTGTCTCTTTTGGAAAGCCTATGAGAAGGAGGACTGGGAAAGTTTCCCTAAAACATGAGGTGTCACTATTGGAATTCTAGTTTTGGAGTTTTTTCTATTCTTCCATGTTCCATGTAGCCAGAAGTTCTCAATTCTGCTGACAGTTACAAGTGAAATGTATTTCAATATTTAAATGTAGATATTGAATTGTACCAACACAATACAATTTAAAATCTACAAACCATTAGCTATGTAATGAATAATGCACATTTCATTTAATTAATTTGATGTTTGTGGCAGCTCAACCCCCCCTATACTTTATTGCATATGTAAGAGTAATTTGAGCATAGATTGAAAATGCAATAAAGCATCGCCTGAGGGCAAATATTTAGCTTCTCATTCTTATTTCCTTGACGGTCCTGCCACAAACACAACTTATGCAGTACAATGGGTGAGCCGCTGCCATGCCAAGCACCCAACCTCCAGGGCAAACCGTTGCCTTTTGAATTGAGTGTGTTCACAGTAAAGTGACAATTGAAGTATCTGGACTTTAAAAGGTTATAACTTAAAAACTATAATTAGTTTCATAGATAGGAAAAAAAAAGATTTCAAACACAGACACATTGAAGAGATAGTGTGGAAAAAATCAAAAGGAAAGATTGACATAAAAAAATTTAGCAACATTTTAAACGACCAAATCAGCCTCTGATTGGACCATTCTACTGTGACGCCAGTTACATAGAAAATAAAATGTCCTCAGTCTGAAAAAGCAGAAGATGAAATCCCACAATATTTACATGGTTAACACAACAGAAGGAAATCACTTGATATAAAAAGGAATCGTGAAAAAATTAAAAATAATGAATGAATTAAATGACCCCTGTAAAATGTATAACGGACGTGATGAGGACGGTCCTCTTTTCTCTAAAAATTAAACTTGAGAAAAAAAAAATATCTGGTCTGTTTTCACATTTAATTGGTTGATAATATGAAAGTATCACTTTGCATCTACTTTGTGTAAAAAAATAGAATCTCTGAATCAAATGTGGACATCTGAAAATACCTATCAAACTTCCACAAAGCTCATTCCGTCAAATCATCACGTCCGTTACATAAAATAAACAGGGCCCCGCTATAGGAAGCTTGTCTAATGTATAAAACAGTTATGTTCTAGAAACTTCTAATGAACAGAGGAGGTGCTTGGAAACATGAAAAACATAAAATATCTTCTGATTATTAAAATCTAATTTTTGGCCTTTTGTCACACTTTTGTGCCCTTTAGTGTGAACAAGCCCAATTACATTATAAGATAACATAAGATAATATAAACTTTATTGATCTTACAATAGAGAATATACATGTCACATGTGGCATAGTTTCTCTCAGAATCCTTTAGAACTTTTTTGAAGCAAAAATTTTCACATGTTTTAATTATTACAAACCCTTGTTATTTGCTTTAGTGTCAGCTGAGAACCCATGAAAGAGAATCCACAGTCCAGAAGAAGCATTGGCGACTGAGAAGGCGACCAAGGGGGAAGAAGCGTTTCGAGTTACAGACAATGGTGAGACTGATTGACATTCCTCTTCTTACGCTTGAGTGACCGGTACTTAAGCCATGTTTTAAAACGAGCTTTGTAATGGCTGTACAAGTCATAACCTGTCTCTGTTTTTTGTTTTAGAGCACAATGACCAGAAAATGTACAAGTGCGATGAATGTGAATATACCAGTTCCACCTATCTCGGCGTGAGGAACCACCGGAGGATACACAACTCGGACAAACCCTATCGGTAAGTTTTCAGAGCAATTACTATATGTATTTGTTTCACTGTGTGAGAATAAAGCCTTCAGTAATTCCAACATCAAGAGCAATTCATTAAGAGATCCTTTATTCGTCCCGCAGTGGAGAAATGTCAGTGTTGTATCATCATTTACAGACTGTAGGAATGAGGAGCACACAGCATAAGATAAACTATCGATCTCACGCTGGAGAAATGTACACAGTCACATCTGTCACAGTCTGTGCAGGATATATTATGTACTATAAAGAGTGGCAATAGCAGTGCTGTTTTTTTCAGTCCTTGTGCAGGTCATAATACACAACAACTGTATTGAACTTACCTGAAATTTCCAACTCTAGCAAAATAAAGAAGCAAGAATTAGTAAAGAATCTTTGATAAATTGTTATTTGAATACAGTGAGCTCATTTATTAGTAGCAGTAGAAAAAAAAATGAAACAAACAAGATACAAAATAAACCGTTTTTAAAAAGAGGCTGAACGAAGCAGACACTTATTTGGCTCTAACCCCCCTCACTCAACCCAACAACACACACTCCACACAAGCAAAATACACACACATACACACACTCCACACAAACAAAATACACACACACTCACACTCGACATAAGCAAAATACACACATACTCACACTCCACACAAGCAAAATACACATACATGCACACACACGCACTCCACACAAGCAAAATAACACAGAGAGACACAAACTCCACACAAGCACAACACACATGCACACACACACACACTCCACACAAGCAAAATATACACACACACTCCACACAAGGAAAATACGCACACACACACACTTGACACAAGCACAACACACACACTCCACACAAGCAAAATACACACACACACACACGCACACACACACACTCCACAGAAGCAAAATACAGAGAGACACAAACTCCGCACAACACACATGCACATCACACACACCCACACACACTCCACACAAGCAAAATATACACACACACACACACTCCACACAAGGAAAATACGCACACACACACTCGACACAAGCACAACACACACACACTCCACACAAGCAAAATACACAAACACAAACTCCACACAAGCACAACACACATGCACACACACACACACACTCCACACAAGCAAAATACACACAGACACTTACCCTCCACAAGCACAACACACACACACTCTACACAAGCACAACACACACATACACACACACTCTACACAAGCACAAACACACGCAGACACTCTACCCAAGCAAAATACACACTGACTCACACACTCCGCACAACCCAACACGCACATTCGACACAAGCACAACCCTACACAACAACACATCACACTCGACACAACACACACGCACCACACTCTAACACATGCACAACCCAACACACACACACTCTACACAAGCTCTCACGCACGCACACTCTCGAAAAGACAACAGGCCCAAACACGGTCTGACCACACACACCTCTCTGTCACTCTACTCGCTCTGTGCTGCTGCTCGTGCTGTCCTCACTCCTCCACTTCTTCAGCACTTCCTTTTGAGCAGTTTTTCAAAAATTAATAGATGTACAATTTATAATACGAATGAAAAAATACCCATGATTAGTGATGACACACAAAGCTAAGACTCATGTGTGAATGTTGTATTCGCTAACCTACTGTATTTCATGTGGGCTTTCATTTCTCAACTTCAACAGACACTTCTATCTCTCACTCTACAAATGTGTGTAATCGTAATTGTCCACGGGTCCAGTCTGACGTGACTTGCATCTCAAATACTCCGAATTCCCCGATGCCTCAGTCTGTCCACAGTCAGCAGTTGTGCGCCACTGAAATTACAGCGTGTAAATAATTAAGTGAGGCGATAAGAACGACATAAATATGATGGCCTAATTTCAAATCTGTCCCATGTCCCTCATATATTATTTTATCTTGTTGTGTATTGACTGAGATTTTGTGAAGTATTCCTCCGTGATTTGGCCTGCAAATGGCTTTGCTGAGTTGTGGGTCAAGTGGGTCAAAATGTGCCAAGCAAATTGTGTAGTTCATGCCGGGTAACAAACAGGTTTGCAGATTTTAATGAATAGATTTTAAAGTTTCTCAAGACTTTGGTGTTGGTATATAAGACCAGGAATTCATATTTTTTGGAGATATAAAAAACTATTTAAATCGGGCTGATTGAAACAGAAACTTTACAATTCACTTTTTTTATTGTTGTAAAGAGTGAGTTCGTCACCACCCGCGCAGATGCCGGATCACCCCCTCTTGGCCAAAGGGTCAATCAAAGAAGAGTTTATTCTTCTTTCTCTTTGTGTATTTTTCATCAGTTCTAAGCTCCCTGCCTCTGAATGTGTTCTAAAGGTAGACAATAATATACATGTTTGTCTTACTATTGAGTATAACAGTTCTATTGATGCACGCAGCAGGGCAGGCCCTCTTTCAGGCAAAGTGTGAAGCACGTCTTTTTTAGAACCATAACAAGATTCCAAGAAGAAAAGATGCAATAAAATCTCAAGTTATATGAAGTGATTTTTCAACTTCCTTCTAGGGCTGTAACAAGTGGGCAGCATGGTGGCTGAGTGGTTAGCACTCTCGCTTCTCAGCTAGAAGGTACTTGGTTCGAATCCCTGAATAGGGCCTTTCTGAGTGGACTTTGCATGTTCTCCCCGTGTCTGTGTAGGTTTTCCCCTACCTCTAAAAACATGCACAATAGCTTCTGGAGATGGGTTCCCGGGCGCTGCTCTACGGCGACCACTGCTTCCTACGACTGCCTTAGTGGTATCAGGATGGGTTAAACGTAGAGGACACATTTCCCTATGGTAACAATAAAGTGCACATTTATTGATTTATTTTAAGGTAATCGGTTAATCACAAACTAATCAATTATTGAGATTGTTGTCAACTAATTTAGTAATTAGTATTAATTAATGGTTTTGAGAATCTTGCATCAACTTGAACATGCTTAGAAGAGGTTTCATGATTCAGATAATAATATGAGTGCAGATTCAAATGAAATTTTTTTGCAAGGATTATTAAATCAAATAACTATGTGAAGCAAGTCATTGCAATTGCATCACTTGAGCTTTGCTTTAGCAAAATGTATAACAAAATCAAAACAACTAATCAATTAATCGAAAGGATAATTGGCTATGTAAATGTTTTAGTACAGCCCACTTTCTACGGAAACATGCGTGATGTAGAATTTTGCATTTACTGCACCTGTGGTTATTGACCACAACAACCTTTTGTGTCTGCCTGTTCCTTGCTTCCCACTAGATGGCAGTGTGGTGTTATGAAATGAATGCCCCTTCCCCATTCACTCTGTGTGGCTTGCATCACGGCCTAGTAATAGTTTGAGAAGATGGTGTGTTACGGCCCACGGCCCGTAATTCCCTATTTTGGGGATTACTTTAGTTTTTTTCCCGTGGTGTCTCTGTGTGGTTGTGTTTCCTCCCTTTTTTCAGAAGATCACGCTCGTGAGTCCTTGGCTCCTATTGGCCAGTCCATTCCCCACCTGGAGCTGATTGACCGCGATGCCTGGGTGCTGATTGGGCAGCAGCTGAGGCAGGCCTCACAATCAGCGTGCGCTCACCTGGAGACCCCTCCCTATAAACTGCCAATCTTCCGCGGCTCAGGGCAGCTGGAGTCAGTGGACTCCAGTTCGCCATTAGTTTTGTCTGTGTTTTGTCACTTGTGCCGGTACCTTAGTTCAGTGACTTGTTTAGTTTATGTTGAAACACTTTAGGTTTACACTTTTGGTTTTGTCAACTGCTTACTTGTTTTAATAGGGTATTTATTTACTGTGTGTTATGTAGATATTAATCCTATTTTGTTTTACCTACTTTGTCACCTAATATAAATTATGATTTTAGTTACCATTCTACCATCTTGGTTATTTTGTTACTTCCTCACACCTAGCTGAGCCGGGTCGTAACAAAAGTGGGGCTCGTCCGGGATCAATGTAATCCGTTTCCCGAAAAACTAAATTGTAAGTATATATTTTTTGTTAGAGGTAGGTAGTTTGGTGTTTTTCTGTAAACAATTTTGTCTTTGGTGTACAAGTTGGCTCTCTCCATCACAGTGGGATTAGTTTCTGGAGTAGCCACATTTTGAGAAGCCATTTAGAAGTTAGGGGAAGGAATCCAACAATTGTTTGTGTATTTTAGAGACCAATTTTGAAAATATAGCTACTCGTTTGCAAGTGTTCACATCGTAAGTTGGTTGGTGGAACATGGCAGTCTCGATTTGCCTGAGGCGGAGGTCGTTGCGGTGCGGTTTGGTGCCTGTGAGCGGTAGCACTGTGAAATGTGTGCCGTGCTGTTCATGTGTGTCCTTCACTGGGATGAGTAGACGCTGAGGTGCAGCGTCCAGACTGATCACCTGTGCGCTCTCCTCTGTGTAAACTTTTTGTCCCCGAGCCTCTCGAGTCCTACAAGGCTGCTCTCGGTGCCGACGTGCGCTTGAGGGTTTTCAAATGGATCTCGTGAAGCAGAAGGATCCTGGAACCTGGACTAACTCTGAGACTAACGCAGCTCTAAAGGCCCCAACCCAGTCTTCCCTCTTTTCCCTGGGGGGGGCCTGTCCATGCAGTTAAAATGCCCTCTCTTCCACTAACCCAGACCTATCCCGTGGATGTGAGTAATCATAGTCCAAGGTTGGGTTTAAGTAACAGCTTCTTAGATAAGAATGCTGAGCGGACCACCAAGCCCAAGACAGGTGGTTGTAATCCACTCTGTGTCTGCATTTGTTTCACTGCTTAGAGGTCCTTTGAATAGAAAATACTATACAATACAATTTATTCTTATATTTCCCCTAACTCAAGGGGGGGGGGGGGGGGGGGGGTGGGCAACAGCATCATCTCAGAGACTTAACAAAACCATTGAAATCACCAACACAGTCAGAGAATCAACAGGTTGAACACTACAGAAAGGAATATGTCATACATTTGAAAAAAAGCATACATTGAGAAAGAGATGCTCTGCTCAACACGGACGACGGGATCCAAGA